ATGGCCAGAGGTGCACGGCAGCTCTTCCATCCAGGCAGGAGCACAGAGAAGATGCACAACCTCCTGCCTGTGTGCTGTTCAATAGAAACATGAATTTCTCAGAGTAACCTTTGCAACCTCTGGTGATGTCTCCAAACCTGGACTGCCTAAAAGAGGCCATTTAAACACAGAAATTTGTCTTTGGTTCAAGGGCTAGTCCCATTTTTATAGCTGGCATACGAGCTCAAATATTTCCCAGTGTTTTAAGTATCTCACAGTCTTTTCTGCAAGCAAGGCAGCGAACCTTTTCTTGTGCCTCATTTCACTTGCTTCCTCACTGTTAGGGAACCACAGTCTTTAGAGAAGAAAAGCTTAGTTGTACAGACTATATGGTATGAAAGGATTTTAACTCTTTTGTGTTTTTTTTTTTTTTTATGTTCTACACATTGTAATGCAGTGTTTTAATTTGCTGCCTTTTTGAAACCTGAAATATGATGTAAATTCAATTTTCCTTTTTCTTTTCTCCGTGTTTCCTACTGACTCTGAAAGTGTATTACTATTTTAACATAACCCTTTTCCTTAGCTGTAGAAAAAGGTAATATTAAGTGAGTTTTGAGAAATGTATATGACTAGGAGGTTTAAAATACAAAGAGTATACTAGAGTATTAAAAAACTTGTTGGGTTTCTTTTCCCTTTAAGCAAATTCAGGCACTGAGCTTTTGAGTGCTTAGGCTGATCTGTCTGCTGCTCCATGGAACTGGATCGTGCTTGCCCAATTGTCTGCATAGTTAAAATATTTTGAACATAGCCTATTTTAATGTAACTTCTTTTGAAATATCTGCCTAATGGAGAAGTCTTAATGGAATACTTTAATAGCCCAAAGTGGTTACCTGCAATTGCTCCTGTGTATTTCAGTCAATTACAAAGGAAGGCAATATTTAATGTTGGAGTGAAGCTAGATGGTGTAATGAACTGGCAGATTGCCAACTTGATCTTCTCCACAGGAGAATTTGTATTAATGTGATGCTTTTCATTTGTTCTCCAGAAGGTCACCAGTAATATGTCAATTGGAGTTAAAATTCCCACTCTGTGCAGTACAGGTTTATGGTCAGATCATTCTTGTGTATTAGCATATTAAGTATCAAAGAGATTATTTTAGCAATTTCATGTCAGAATTTAAATAGGAGGTGGTTGGGTATTGGGAAGAGAGCCTGAGAGAATTGTCATGGAAATTGTTGCTGTAAGGCTGAATCTGGATTTTAGCCATGGAGATAAAGAAAATGGGGCACATTAGAGCTATTAGTGAAAGGAGAGGTGGTTAATAACTGTGGATGTTTCATATAATGTAATCATTGTAAGACCACTAATTTATTCTGTGAGATAGTAACCTTTATAATAATGTTCTTATGTTAGATGTTATTGATATTTACCTTCTGGTACTCGTTTCCAAACATCAAATTCAAACTCTTATTTCTGACTATTGACAGAGGCTTTTTACTGTGGAACCTTTATAGTCCTTGTATTTGGAAGACCTTGATTTAGAAAGCAAATGAGTGACTAAAGTTACTGTTGAAGACAGATAAATTTGTCTTTTTGCTTTGTGCATTTGTAATCCCATGTTCATCCAGTTTCTATACTCTGCCATTCCTATTCCTTGTCATAGTGTTCTGTTCCTCTGCTCTGGGCCTCAGGGGAAGTGTAGGGTGTGGGGAGACTCAGGAGTGCTAAGGAGCCCTGGCATTTCACATGCAGCAGGGCTGACGTTGCTCCAACAGTAGATGCATTGAGTGAGGCGTGGCAAATGGACATGGTGCTAAATGGTCCAGAAGTGATGGGCACTGGGGATACCACTGGAGTATGCCCATGCCCATCTCTGTGCCTCTGTTTGCTTTGCTGACTTCCAAAAAAAAGTTGTTGACTTGATTTCCCGAGTTTCCGATGTTGCGCCAGTTTGTCTTTTGGGTGAACGCTAAGTCCAGTGTGCTGCAAGGCTTTTGAAGGTGATTCAAAATAATTTTGTACTCAACTCAAAATTTAACAATTCATTCCCCAGAATGTCTATGCTATCAAATATTTCTTTCTATTGCTGGCTAGTAGGACCTAGCAGGAGAACCAGAAAACTGCATGTGTGGTGCAAACTCTGCCTGGGGGCAGGCAGTCCCAAACCCTAACTGCTGTTACTATTTTTTGACCCTTGAAAAGAAAGGTCCTGAACTTCTGTAACTGAGGATTGTGTCAAGGAACACATTCTAAAGGAACATTTTAAATATAATTCAAATATTTGAGGTGTGGGTTTCCATCCTGAGTTTGTGTCACTTGGCAATTCACAGCGTTTTGGCAAAGCTTTGGACTGTGGGGGTGTGTGATGGAAATTGACTTCTCCCCTGGGGAAGTGACTGTTAGTGTGACTCCTTGCAGAAAACTTCCTCTGGCTCTTCCAAAGCCAAGTGAAGATTTTCATTATGAGAAAAATAGAAAATGGGCTCACAAGGCAACAGGATTGCACCCAAAGAGGACAGAGACCAATCTGCATCTTGTGCTTGTGTGTCTGTTAGCTTAACAGAGTTTTATTTCAATATGACTGTTGTTAGGAGTGGTGGTTTTTTATGCATCTTCTTCCTTTGACTATTTGCACTATCACCATTAACATTCCAAACTACTTTCAATGTGTTTTAATTGAGCTGCCAAAATAAAACCATTCTCACTCTACAGAAGGAAGTTAGCATTGTTATGTTGAGATAAACACATGACTCATTCTTTTCTTACGCGTTCAGATGAAATTTGGACTGTTTTTTTTTTTTTTCCAACTGTACTTCTCTATTTGACTAATAAATACACGGCTCATTTTTCAGGTATTGATGATGAATAGTGCTGTTTTCCAGCTCACTTTCAAACATATGTTCTATTTGCAAGTGTGCATTTGTGAAGGTGGAAGCAATAATTAAGGGAGCTATTGTGTTTTTCTTTAAGGAAAACAAAAATGCCCTAGCAAAATCAGAGGCTTGGTACAGCACTTCAGTGATAGATGGTAATGAGCAGTAGATGATTTGTGAGGTAGGACAAGGAAAGATAGTACTATTCAGAAGATCTTGTACCAAAAAAACGAGGAGATGTTTATTTTCTCTTTTTTAGCTCTTAATATTAAAAATATCCTTGTATTATTGACAGGAGAAAAACACGTACTACAAAACATTCAGCCAGCAGGAAAGTAGATCTGCTCTGCCTTGGGGTTTTAATGTTGCTTCATTTATTAAAGCCTCTCTCCCATTTACTTTATATCTGTCCTGCAATTTCAATAGAGCAGTTCTCAGTGGGAACACAGTTAAGGTCTGTAATTGGTTAGAAAAATTGATACAGCAAAGCGTTGTTGCCTGTGGTCTGAGTCTGCAGAACACTGGAAACCCAGGTGGGACAGCAGCTGTTCCAGCCATCACCAGGAAGAGGAGAAGGGTTTGGTCACCCTTGAGTCTGCTTTCTGCTCTCACAGGCAAATCTTCATTCAGGTGGTGAGCTGGATCAGGAGGCTCTTCTGTTGGAATAACATTTTCTCATAATTTGCCATCCTCCATTATTCATTTATTTTTTTTAAAATCTTGTGTGTTTTTCAGGAGGGCTGGCAACAGTTTGTTGTCTCTTGCAGTTTGCTGGGGACTAAAGAGTGAACTTGCAGGAGCTGAGGGTCAGGGAGTCTCGTGTTCTTTACCCCTTGACAATATGTTTAGGTTTAAATGTTTGTCAAACTGTGACTTTAGTAGTTCTCTTACTCCATCTATTAATTAATGGGAGAGTAAATCTCACTTTGAAACATTTGTGTAAGGCATTTATAGTACCTTTGTCAATACTATTTATTCTCCCCTCACTTCGTTATCGTGCATGGGATCACTGGGTGACTTGCTCCTTTGAAGTTAATTTCTTCATAGGAGGCTTTTGTAGAGTCACAACTGCTTGGAGCTTTTTCAGAAAAGACTGAACAGAAACATTTGTGCAGGAGTGGCCAGGGGTTGTGTAGGGGTTTTAACACATCGTCCTTATGAGATAGAGGCTGCAGCACAAGAAGTTGCTGAGAATTTTTTTCATCCTTATGAATTGGATCTTAATGGGTTGACACAGCCTGATTTTGTCAGACATCCTGTGGAGTTAGAAGGGTCATTAAAAAACAGAAACAAGTGTTTAAATACTTTGACCTCTCTTCTGAACGGTTTCTTTGGTGGCTTGAAATACTTAACAGAACAGTGGAGGCCAGGAGGGACCTCTGGACAAGCCATGCATGTTCTATCAAGGCTGAGGCTGTACCTGGGGCCATGTTCAGTGGAATTAGAGACTCTCCCAGGAAGAAGGCCCATCGTATCACAGGGTGTATGTGGCTGTGCTTGGCCGCACTTGTGCCTTCTTTACATCCAGCCAGAATTTCCCTGAATGTGGTTCTGTGACCCTTTGACAAGCTTCACCACTGCTGTCAGAGCTCTCTCATTGGGTCACCATCTCTTATGCCAGAAGGCTTCGAGCCACATGTGGTAGCAATCCAGCTGAATTGCACATCTGTGTGTGTGAGGGCCTTCTGGATGGAAATACTTCACTGCCCCACAAAACTCATGGCTATGCTTTTGTTGCTGTACCTCTTTTCCACACGGAGAGACATTTTCTTTTTCTTAGAAAGTACAGTCAAGTTAAACTAATACAAAAGTGAAGGAAACAGTAAATAATGGTGCTTTGTAAAATGCAGTCTTTCTAAAACTAGGCTGAATTTTAAATTCTGTTTCTTGATTGATTTTTCTCTGTATTATGAAGACTTAACTTGTATGTAGTTTGGATTGTTTGGGGTTACAATCAGCTTGTATTCATTGAGAGAAGTTAAATATGAAGATGGGGTCTGTTTATGCTAAAAAAGTGGATCAAGTTCAAGCCATTCTGCCTGCTCTTCAGCATCTCATAAGAGGCTTTGACAGCCTGAAAGCTAAATTACCTATTTGGAAATGTTCTAAGTTTAGTGCTAGAACTAAAGTACGTGTTTGTTGTTTCAGGTGGTGGTATATAGAACTTTGTTGGAGAGTCCTGCCTTTCACTGCCTGGATCCTTTTAACAGTGTGTCAAAGGTGAGTGGTTCAAGTCTGGTGGTTATTTTCATAACTTAAGGTAACAAGTGAACTAGAGGTATTGCATGGTTTTGGCTTTTATGTAATAACAGTGTAGTTGTGATTTTTTCGAATTTTTCAACTGCTGGATGAATTATTAAACAGCCTGTCTTTTTCTGTCCATGATCTGGGGCAAATTGGTTCTAGTTCTTATATTCAGAAAAAAAAAATCCAAGAAAAAGTGATAGGTTCAGAATGTTAATTGAGAACTAGATATTGCTTCCACTGTTTTATGACTGTTGTATCCTGCTACTCTCTGTTTTGACTTGGGATGTTTTCCCCTGAAGGTGCTGCCTGAAAGCACAACATGATGGTATGGGAAGTATGGAGGAGAAGCAGTCATCCATAAACCATGGCAGGGCAGGCTTTGTATTATTCTTTGGTTGAATTCTAAAAACTAAGTAATAGCTTTGAAAGTGTTCAAAGTATTGGGTGTAAAGAAGGTTTTCATGTTTTGTGTGAGAGCAGAAGAGAATTGCATTTAGTATATAGAGAGCATCTTCCTAGGCTGACTGAGGACCTGAAATAATCTAATGAAGCTGATGTTGCTGTAGGACATCTTTTTGTGATAGGGTTTGGCTGGCCTTTTTCTTTTAACTTGTGTACCCTATTGTCAGTTTCTAATAGCTGTAGTTGGTCTCCGTGGCTTAGTAGCAATTTATTAACATTACTGCTGTACCAAAAAATAGAAGCAAAATGGCAGAACACTGAATAGGCATTCAGTGTTGTAGTATCGCAGCATGGAATCTTGGCTTTATTCGGTACTTTACCATGTGGATTTCTTACTTCTTACTCAAATTCTCTGTTTAAAAAAAAAGTTGCCTTCTTCAGGGGGAAGTTATGAAGTCCAATTATTGACATTTTGGAACCTACAAATGGAAAGCAATAAATTAAATTGTTGTGTGCCTTGATATTTGCTGTGAGTTCTATTAAATACTTAATTTATTGTTATGAGATGTTGAATTTAGATTTATTGATTCACCTTAGTTTTACTGAATAACTTAGAATTAAAAATGCAATCCAGTCTTAACTATTTTGTCTCTGTATGCTTTTGCAAATGATTGATTTTCCTTTAAACTGAAAAGGAAATTCTAAGTAATACTGAGATGGTGGGCTTTTGCACTATATTTTCAAATTATCTGACATATGTCCTTAAATGTACTGGAAAAAATTTGTAACCCTGGCTTTTCTAACAGATCAGTGTAACCTTGAACACTTAGGTGTTTAAAGACTGATAGTAAGTAACCTTTTGAATTAGTTTTCTTTAATAATTTTTCTATGATTTATAAGTAGCAAAGTCAAAATATTCTTGAAAGAACTGTAAATGTGAAAACAAAATAAAAACACAATCCTAAAGCAAATGATTAATCAAGCTTTTGACTTAGTCATTGTAAAATTATTTTTCTGCAATAATTTCTTCTCGAAATTAAGCCAGTATGTTTTTGGCTATGGACTACATTATGTATTTATTTCAAATGTGTAATGTAAAACACAGAGTTTTATCTTTGGAATCTCTTACTTGTCCTTTTTTATAATAGTTTTAAGTTAAATATTCAGTGAAAATAATTTTAAAAATACTCCACTGCTCACTTAAAGGAAATAGGTGTCTGAAGTCCTGGTTATTTACTTAGTCATCTTTATTTCTTGAGCTATTTGCTGTGATATAGAGCATATTGAGCAATTCTTCTTTTACTCTTTAATCCAGTAAATGTGAAGGGTAACCAAACATGCCCAAAGTGGAGTTCTTTACATCAGGTGAAAGTTTTATGTGTTTTGTCAAGAGGCAGTAAATAGATAACAGCCCACTGAAAGGAGTTGAGGAAGAACTACCTGGACATGTCATTTGGTGGGGTGTGCAAGGAGTGTCTCTCCTTTTGTATCTTTTTTTTTCTCCTTTCATATTGAAGAATGAGTACTTGGGATATTCACTGTGTTTGATTGGACCACACTCAATTTCAGTAACAGAATTAAATCTAACCGTATTAATATTTTGCGCCTTTTCCCATCATTTGTGTGCTTGTTTCTGCTGGACTGTATTCAGCTTGGTAAATATGTGAATCTGCAAAACCTGGAGCATTCTGATGTTGTTCCCAAAGGGAAATGAACGTGTAGGTCTAAGTTCAGTAAAGCCTACTTATGTAATGCTTTGTTGAACCAGAATATAGTACACATTTTGCCCTTTGAAAAGGAAATGAAATTGGCAACAAAGTAAATTTTCAGAAATTACGCTCCAAACACTTCAACTTCACCAAACTGCAGGCAATCATGTATCCTTAGAGGATTTTGTTGTAGTTATCAAGGTCTGCTGGGTGGCTTTTATGTAGCTGGGCAATCTGGCTTTTTTCAGTTGTTTGCTTTCCTCTCCTCTAACATCATATTTTATGTAGGGGTATTCTGTACTTGTGAACTTGTCCCTGTTTCTCTTGCAGTAATAGAATCAAAACCAAGATCTTATGTTGTATTTTCACAACAAAATATTTTGAAAAATTATTTCAGTATTGATATGCGCATTGAGCATTTTGTATTTTAGATTAAAATCCTTTGGGAAATGTTCTGTGATTTTTTGACACTTGATCCACTCGTATGGAATTATTTGTTCTTTAGAGTTACCTCTGTATATGAGAGGGAGATTGTTAGATGAGAATCAAACTGGTATGAACAAAGTTATCGATGTCTTCATACTCAGCAGATTTGTCAAAGGCTGCAGTACCACACATAGAACAGAAATCCTTGTCTGTAAAGATTCTCAGAGCAACCATGATAGAGATGAGCTCCTCACATTTTGAGACTGGGGACCTGCAAAAGCTTCTGACTGATTGAGCCTCCTCCTCTGTTTGAGAGGAAGAAGCACCACAGACATTTCAACTTGTGGGAGCTGTTTGTGATACTGTATCAGAATATTTCTTGGTCTTTTTCTGTGATTCAGCATGTTTGTAGTTGTTGATTTTGGATATTTTTTAACCCAAGGAAAACGATACCTATTCTCAGTGTTTCATATGAGTTAGTTGTGGGAAACTTTGATTCTTACAGTTAGGAAGAGAATGAAAGGTATGTGCTGAGTGGATGTCTGGATTCCTTTCTCTTAAAAGAATATTCCTGTAATTATGCCAATTATCTCAGGTGCCCAAAGTGATTGTAAGACTTTGAATGCAACTTCAGTGTTACTTAAATATATTTACAGACATTTAGTACAGTAAATGAATTTATAGAATACTGCTTGTTATGTTATGCAAGTGGCATAATACTTTCTAACCTATAATTGAGATGGTGGGGAAGAACACTTTCAGCCCACTGTTATGCTTCCATTACCACAGGTATGCACTTCAAATAAATTGATCTTACCTAAATTACATTATTTTAGTATTTATTTTTTTAGATTTTTCTTTCTTACATTTTTTTTCTTGTTTCTCTTGGTAGTAATTGTAGCTCTTCACTTGAACTAGGGGCATGTTTTAATTTAGTAATAATATGAAAGTTAAGAATCAGTTGTCTATATTTTTCCAGTTCTGATAGTTTCAGGTGCAACTCATGTTTGTAGGTATCAGCAGTACCTGTAACAGCCTACAAATGTGTTTTGCAATGTGCTTTAACTGCAGTCCATATGGATTCCTTATCAGAGAACACTGTTCAGCTTTCATCAATGCAGGAAAATTAATTTAAGTAAAAATATAACAATTACCACATTTCTTTAAGGATGGAAGTAGTTTTGGTATATGATAGCCAATGTGGGCTTTGTCTTGTCATCCAGTTTGTCAGTTTTTCTAAGCCAAATAGTTTGGTGTGTCATCTGGATGTTGAAGTTGGTGAATTTCACAGAAGGGAGGAATATTTAAAAGCTAGTGTGGTATATTTCTTGTGGAATTCTGTTTCTAATAATTTGGCTAATTAATCTTAGATTACAATTACTGTTTGCACTGTAGTAACAGAGCTTCAATTGTACTAAGCAGAGAGAACTGAGAAAATGAGCTTGTCCTGTTGTTTATTTTTTAAGCCAGTAACAATGCAAAGCACAGAATACCATGCATACAGATGCAAACCTTTTACAGTTCTTTTTTCCTTTCCCTGATTTGATGTTTGAGAGCCTTACTTTAAGACATCCCAGGCTCCTTGCCGTCTTGTGGACTGAAGCCCCACTTTCCTTTGTGCTGTCTTTTCACACCCTTTCGTTTCCTGGATCGCCTGCAGCCCTCATCCCTCCTTATTTTGGAGGCTGTTGTTTGTGTCAGCTGCTTAGTTGTTCCCGGCAGTAGAGCCTTGGTGTAGCCTATTTTCTACCTGCTCCATCCTCTCTTTTATCCCCCCACCTTTCTTTTAAATGATCCTTCTCCTGACTTTTCATTCAGCAGCTTTATGCATAATCCTTCCAGGTACTGTTGTTGCCACTCAGACTGTTCTTTTCCTTACTGGTTTGGGTCCTTGAGGTTTTGTATCACACCATTTCCTTGTGACTGCTTGTTCCACTTTTTCCTATTAATATTTAAAATCTACCAGTAGCCTGATTTTTTTTTTAATGTTCAATACCATCAGACGTGTTCATATATATGAGCTAGAAATGTGCCTTATGCAAGCAGCTACAGCAGGTGATGTCAGAGAGATTATTTCCCTGAAGTGTCAGGGTGTTGAGGGATCCAAATTTTCCCTAGAGGGTGATTTTGAATTCTCTGTCTTCCACCAAAATCCACAGCTCTTAGCACATTCCCTGATAAGCTCAGTTGTCTCATACCATTAGTTCTCAGGTTATCACATACCAGCCCCAAAAATGCTGTTGAATGAGGGTTAGACTTCTCTTTATATTTGATCACTGAATTTGCTTTTCAAGATTAAACAGTCAGAGTATTAGTTTTCCTTGCTTAGTTCTCCCTGAAGATTACTGAATGGTATTTTCTGCCAGCCTTAGATTTGCATGGGATCTGGAAAGGTCTGTTCCATTATTACTGGGTAGAGGGCTGGTGAAGTCAGGA